GACAAGAAACTTGGTCTGAACATTGTGCCCACTACAGCCGTTGTAGAGTTAGCTGCACCGACGTTCTACTATGGACGGCTGGATCGGGCGAAAGCGAGGACGAAGGAGCGCATCCAGTCGAGATATCCCGATCTTGGTCGACGCTTTCACAGAATTGGCCTTCCCCCGAAGGTCAGCCTGACAAATTGCCACCTATCAGTAGGGAAAGCGCGATTGATGCGCTCTTCGGAGCAAACTAATAGCGAGCGTCCACAACAAAATGCCTAGTCCCTGGTATTCGAACAGTGCAGGTTATCGTTCGTTCGCTCACACACATAGCGCTGTTGTTTAGTGTTAGATACGTGGAGCGAAAGCGGCAATGGTTTTGTCAAACCAATCAAAGCGTCGTAATAGATTTTAATGCCACTAGTTGTTCGCTTTCGCCATTGGATACGTAAACGCTACAACTGTATACGATGAAGCATTTAGAGGTGAAGGGCAATTTAGAAAAAGTGAACGACGAGCGATGGCCTCGGCAGCCTTCACCGTCGAGGACGCGAGCACAGAATGAGGGTGGAGTGGAGGAAGGCGTCGCACGCATGTTTTGCTAGAGGACATGGCGAAAACAGAGAATGCTCAGCAGCCGATAAATACATGATCAAAGGAACGTTCGATTGTAGTTGAAAGGTGAAACGTGTGTGGGCACCGCCATTTTGCAAACCATCCGTTGTGATACGCATTTGGCGCAGAATGCCGTTAAAGAACTGCTTAACCAGTCTGTTAGCAAATGTCAGAGAATTTGCGGCGAACGGAAGGCAAATTTCAAAACACTCTCTATGCCGTATGCAAATCTTATAGAACAATGATAGAAGTGAGTCATCCTTGCGTTTTGCAGAAAATTTGATATGCTCGCGAGGGGTGCGGGTGCCAGATGGACTGCGAAGTCTTGAAGACATATCCGCCATATGCTAACTCAAAAAAGGCGCAAAAAGCGATCGGTGACATATCGCGAAGAATGACTACGGCGTTCTGCTGACTGCTTTGTACAACTCACTTTACAAAAATCTAGTTTACGTTTTTAGAAAGGCAGTTTTCAATTGTTCGTCACGGGATATCAAGATGCATCGCATTGGCTTCGCATATGGGACAGTTATCCGGAACAAGCACCTCCGCCGGTGACACAAAGAGAATTTCAACTGCTCTTTGAAAAAATGGTGGTGCTCGATTATGTAATCAGAAATACCGGTAAGCGTCTAACTCAAAAAAGAGCAAAATTTGATTCGAAGGGAAACGAATGAAACACTTAGATCGCGGCAACGATAATTGGCTGATCAGGTACGAACAAGCTGACGTGGCGGAAACCCCAATAGTGCCAAATGATCCGAATCCCACGAATATATCAGAAACACAGGTGATTTATATCTACGAAAGATAAATCGTAAATCCCCCGTTTCGGTATTAACAGATGGAGGATTTGCAGATTTTTTGCAAAGTGCAAAGAGCACATGGATTTATGAAATGTATGAAATAAAAGACAATGATTCTAATTTTCAGCCACCTGATGAAGGCCAGTTAATCGACCTAGCAGAAGCGAATGCTCGAGCTTCCGGTCCGGAAGGTGGGACATCCACCATTCGTTCTTCATGTAGAACAGTAGTAGCTGTAGTCGTCGTTGTATGCACGGATTCCGAGTAAGATTGCTCGGCCTCAACAGAGTCCTGAGGCTCAGACATCCTCCGCGACGCAGGAGCAAGTGGTTCTGATCACGAATGACGGTTTGAATCAGTGCGGCGCCAAGTGCCGGCTGCTGGCCACACCTTTTTATAGGACGCACTTTTTTATTTTATCTGTCACATGTGTTATGCGGTGAATAATCTAGTAGATTACTGACTAGTAAACAGTGCCGACAACGACATCGGACAACTACCACGCAAACACGCGCGTACACTTAGATCCTCCATCATGCCTTCTAAGGAAATTCATTTTTCAATCCGTTTTGTGGAAACGCGCTTCCTTAGTATCGCA